TTATTAACTTGAACCCCCTCAAACCAGCAGCTAATTCCTGTAGATAATGGACAGCATCATGTCCAGAAGACCCTGTGCTCTACAATGTGAAGGTAAACTGCCCAAGGACGAGCATCTGAAGAATCAGTGGTTAAAATTCATCTTTACCACAATACCACAGCAGTATAATCCTAAACTTTTGCTGTGTTTCCTTTATTTTCCTGACGACTGTTTCTCAAATCACGGAGTTCAATGCAGGATTTGCAAACCCCTTGCTCTTAAAAGATGGTGTTCAAAATACTTAGTTGAGTTACTTGAGTTTTATAATGTGTAGGTCTCCTGCTAACTGGCTAACTCATGTTATTACTGTCTTACTGAAATACTTCTGCTAAGCATCTGTGGGCCACTATTACCTAAAACTGTGTCACTTAAAATTATTAATTCATAATTTGAGGAAAGGTTAAGCATGGAGCATAATTTGTTTTACCAACATTTAATCAGTCATTCATGCTAGAGCTCGACTAATGTATGCACTGTTATTGATACAGTTTCCACGTTCACCGCAATAAATTAGAAAAAAATACTCAGTAAATAAATAAGTAAAATAATCAGTTTGTTGATGGACATGCACTTGTTAATGCTGATGGTGAGGAATAACAGTTGCAACATCTTATAATGTACCTCAAACTTAGTAGTGTATCACTGAGAAATGTCCTGCTCGAGTCGCCCTTGCAATGGAGGTGAATAGTTCTTCAAATGTTTCATCATCGGACTCGTGCTCGGATTGATATGATAAAACCGTCATCATTCGTTACTGTGTTTAATTTACGGTGTAGGAAGCCTCAGGACAAGCAGAGCTGACGTTGTTATGGCAATGGTTTTTTTTGTTTTCGACACCATTGGTACGTGGTAGACCAATCACAACAGACTGAGCTGTCTGGCCAATCAGAGCAGAGTAGCTCGGGGAAAGGAGGGATTTAGAAAGATTGATTCATCTGATGAGTCGTTCGAGAATCATTAAAAATGTGGTGTTGTGCAAATATAGCCTATATTATGAGAAAATGAAACAGTTTTTTGACCTTTGATGCATGTAATCCTGAAAAACTTTAAAAATAGCATAATAGGGGCACTTTCAAATATCATATTTTGTGTTTAACAGAAGAAAGAAATTCATGCAGGTTTAGAACGACATATGGGTGAGTAATAATGAAAGAATTTTTTGGGTGAACTATCCCTTTAAGTCAACATAGGCATGTTCCTATAATATACAGAAAAAGGCTCACACTGTTTTTGATTCTGGACCCAGGTTTTACAGTGGACATTGGAAACTGTATTTCATAAACTGTAAATTGAATTTAAAGGGTTTCATGCTCAATGCAACCACAAAAGCACATTGTGATCGGCACAAACTATGTGTTTCCTCGCTGCAAGTGAACTCAAGTGATGACTTTTACCCATTATTATTTCTTTTACAATTATCACATCATATGGTTTGCTTAGTAACATACTAATATCAAACTCTACTGGAATCATCTACTGGAAAATTCTGTCAACATTTACTCAGCCTTATGTTATTCCAAATCTGTATAATTCACTTTTATCCATGCAACACTAACAGTGCATTTCTGAGAAATATACAGGCAATCTTATCATTATACTAAAAGTGAACGGGCTATCAAAATGACAAAGAAGCCACTTACTGTAAAAGTCTCATAAAAGTGGTCCAAACGATGGTTCTAACGTGTTCTAAAGTCATACGACAGCTTTGTGTGAGAAAAATATCAAAATTGTTAAGTTGTAGCTGTCTTTGATGTGTTGATGAAAGAATTTGTGAAGTCTTACTTATGAATAAATTGTTCTTTTGAGTCAAATCTTTTCAATTGTGTTATCCAGTTCACAAAAATGGTCTGAATTATCTGTACTCGAGTTTAACTCACTCAATGATTCAGTCACAAACTGCTACCAGTTCACTGGAGGGGAATATTATCAGTGAACAATGACTTAAATTTCAGTCTCTTCCCAAACAAAGCTGATGTATGGCATTTTGTGTTCCACAAAAGAAAGTAACACAGGTTTGGAATGACATGAGGGTGAGTAAATTATGACAGCATTTTCTTTTTGGGGTAAATTATCTCTTTAAAGGGGCATTGTGTAGGTTTTTACTTAAAAAAATCTTTAAGATAGAGTCTTCATTTGTACATTTATGAGCCAACCATAATGTAATAGAAAGAATGACACCTTGACTGTCCACCACGGTTGCCTCTATCAGCCTGTAGGCTCAATTGTGTGTGGAGGAGTCGGGTCCGAATTGGCGTGAAAATTCACAAAATGTGACGTCATGCGCGTTCTCGTCTACTTGGGCTTACATCCGTATGGCAGCCATTAGTAAGCAGCGGCAATCGCTAGCAGTAGTGTTTCGAATGGACTCTGCGGACGGAAAGAAGCGACCAGCCTCCAGCACAATCCAGATACACACGGAAACTCCTCGTAAGTTTTTTTTTTTTTTTAAAGCCTTATCTAGTGTGGCCAATGAGTGTGCGCACCGAGAACGAGCATGAGACTGGGTGCAGTTTCTCTAACGGCCACTGGTGTCAGTAACGGTAAGAAATTTAAGAACTTCCGCAATGCTCCTTTAAGGTTTACTCTGTGTATTTTATTACATTTTCTGTGTTTACCATATTTATTTTGTAACTGTGTATGTGCATAAAGCGAAATGTTGCAAAGGGCTAGACTAATTTTTTCAGGACAGTCAGCTGCCCATTTTGGAAGGACGTGTACGTGTCCTTCTGTACAAGGACAGAGTGACTCTCATTACCGGCAAGGGTGAGATTTTTACCCTCTTAAAGAATATCTGTTTCTGTCAAAGCCAGTCCAGAACATCGAGTCCTCTGAAATCATACTGCATGACTGTGAAAATGCAATAAGAGCTTTGTCCACAATCATGAGCTATACCAGAACCATACTAGAAGTGCAATACATCTTGTGAAGTTTGACAGCTCAAAAATCAACTCCAATATCCAGGCTTAAGATCTGGATTATTGCTCCTTGAATGCATGCTGCTGCATGTTTAAATGGAGTTCATGCGTTGAATTCGATCTTTGGATTTGTCATGGAACATTTCATACGAGCATGGCGTCAGAGCTCTCATAAGTGGCACGATTCTGTAACCACATAACTGAAATTAAAGAATCAGGTCTCATCAAATTGATGCTGGATTAAAGTGTAATTAATGTCCACAGATGGTGTCAGGAAACAGCTGTGCTCCCTGGCAGAAAAGGATTAGTTAGTTATGGGGTTATGGGTTATGGATGAATTCCATTGTGTTTTCATGATGATAGAGACTTCAGGAAGGTGCTGCCATCATGTGGAATATTTCAGCAACGCCTGACTCATTAAAGGGATAGTTCACCCAAAAAAGAAAAGAAAATGTTGTCATTTACTCACCCTCAAGTTGTTCCAAACCTGTATGAGCCGTCTACCGTCAACTGTCTGATTACCAATACTCTTCAAAATATCTTCTTTTGTGTTCAACATAAGAAACAAACTCATACAGGTTTGGAACAACATGAGGGCGAGTAAATGATGACAACATTTTCCTTTTTGGGTGAACTATCCCTTTAAATAACTTAAGATTTGGTAACATCTTTTGTAAATATCAATTTGTTTCCATTTTACAACAACAATGCACTGACAACATATACAAATAGGATGAGGATGACAAATAATAAGGGGAATTTACATGTGGGGTTATGTGAGAATGATGATGTACAGTCAGTGGCATGATGTAAATGCAGTGATGCACAGTGACAAAAAACACAATAGTACTATTAGCCACACCACCAAAAAATAAAATAAAATAAATGATTGTGGGGGACCCCCATTATAAGACTTGATTCCATTCAAGCACTGTCATGTAATTAATGATTTTATTTTTTATTTTTTAATGAGTATTTGCTTTCTCTGCAGTCAGGTGACAGAAGCTCACAGCTGCTCTTACCTTCCATTCTGTCATGAAGCGTGTGACATCTTCACCTGATGCAGACTTGTTTCTTCTGAATTCATCCTTCACATACTGGTCACCCAGAGCCCGCAGGTCTATGGGCAGGAAGCGGTGCAGTAACAGGATTCTCTTATACAAAGATCGAACCACTGATACATGTGCTGGATGTGCCATAACTTCACAATCTGACAGACAGTAACCTCGTCTAGATATTATACAGCGACAAGTGCGTCCTGTTTGAACACAGCAACGAAGTGTTAGTGCACCAGCCTAAAAACCATAGCTCATGAGAAAGATGAACCGATCTGATATTATTTATTATAAAAGGTCATATGTACATAACACTGTTGATTACTCAACCGTACATGCAGTCTTCTTCACCGCAACGCTATGAGTGTTATTACAGCCGCTGCTGCCCTCTGGTGCCGATTGGAATGTAGTGCAACTAAGGAAACGGGCGCCAATCACTTTCTCATTCAAATACGTCACCCAATAATACCCAACCTATTAAAAGTTAATTTAAATCTTATTTAGAACATTTTATTATAATTATTTTGCCAAGTTAATGTTTACAAATCAATAACTTAATCGTGATAATCATGAGAGGTTTTGTTGTTATTTGGGACAGGTTTGTAGTGTATTAAAATGGGTAATAATAGGCTATCATATGTTTTATATGAACATTTTTCAACATTGAATAAACACTTTATTTATATTATTATTGCAGTACTGAATTATATATAGATGTTAAAGTAAGAAAAATAAGAAACAGAACAAGACAAAATATTTTTTTATGTATATAAAAAAAACATGCAAAGGAACATATTTTTTTCTTTAAAATATGTTCAGAAATATTCAGATACATTATTATGATAATATAATATAATATAATATAATTAATATAAACATGAGGGGGAAAGTAACAACATGAGAAAAAAAACCTGTAGAACTTTGTTGCACAATCTGTAAAGTCATCTGTGTGTTTAAGAGCAGGATGTTCGGAGCATTGAAGAGATGCTGTCTTTGTTTTTGAGTTGAAGAAAATTTTATCATACATATCGTAGACATGAGAATATTTAAGCGCTACATTTTATTTTTAAGTGGCGTAGCAGTGAGTGTGCTTCTCTCAATAACTTATTCACATGTTCTAAGGACTCTGACACCTGCATGTGCCGTGCATGCAAGGAATGCATATACTGTATGGCATACAGGTAAGACAAAGGCTTTTTCTCTACTCTTATATTTCTCCTCTATAATCAGCCACAACCACAGTAAATAAAAAAAGAAGCAGAAAAGAGGACAGAAACTGTTGGAAAGAATATACTATACTACTCTTACTATTGCTCCTATGTATACTACACACAGTATGACAATTTTCTGTATAGATGACCTACATCATTTACTCAAAAACAATCTCTTACTTAAAATAAACTTTAAAAAACGTACTTAAAACTTACTAAAAAAAACGTACTTAAACAAAATATTTACAAAAAGAAAATAACATTTTCTGTATACCCAGATGACCTACAACATTTACTCAAAAACAAACAAAATACATACAATTGGAATGGATAGCTTACTTGTCTGCTGCATATAAATGTAGGCCTATATACTGTATACATTTCTTGAAGAATTTACCATGAATAAAGTGTGTTATGTAATTCTGGACATGTGCTCAATTGTTGTCATACAACCTCTTCACATTAACAAATGACACCCATTATCATCTTTGAAATAACTTATTAACTTTGTAAAAACAAAAAGTACATTTTGGCATACATAAGAGTATATAGCCATACTTATTGCGGAAATACTTGGAAGTACTTGTAATGTTTTCAGACACTTAATTACATGTTATTTGAAATTAAATGAAAATGTATTATGAAATGGAATTACCTTAACTTTGACCCAGTGCAGTGATTTAAGTAGGACTTAAGTACAACTTTATATGTAAGTGTATTATGACAATGATTAATTCTATTGTCTTTGAAATATGGTTAAAGTGCACTGTTGAATGTACAGACAACATTTATAGTAAACTGAATTATACTTCAATGTAATTTCTATTTTAACTTAACAAGTCTTATTTTTTAAACATTTGTAATTACACATTTGTAATTATGACGTTTGCAATGTAGTACATTTAAAATAAACTACGGCTAAAATTATAATTTATAAGTACTTTACCTGTACGTTAGTCAACACATCAATGTAAGTGTACTTGTTTAAAGCATGACAAAAGATTAAAACAATAATTTAAAATGTATTAAAGTAAAACTTTTAGTTTTGCATTACAAAGTGCACGTTTTAAAAGTGTACTTAAGTGTGTCAAAAAACAGTGTTGCCAGGGTCGTCTCTGTTTACGTACACTATAATAATATATTATATTTATATTATATTATATGTATAATATTTTATTGCATTAATATTATATTATCTGCATGTACAGTTTTTGTTTAAAACATATACTTTTAAGATTTGAATTACACTACAAGCGCACATTCAATACAATTAAGTACACTTCTTTTCCATAGGGCTATTACCGTTATTTAGCATTTTTAATCCAGTTTGTATATACTGTATACTGTAGTGTGGTCTGTTGTATACCGCACACTTTGACAAATGTAATAGATCACCCTTGTTTTCCTTGCCTGCATAACATTTGCATACTAAGCTCAGTATACATACTGCAAAAATATTGAGAGTATGGTACAGTAAGTCATTCTCTACTGCATAGCCACTGATTCTCAGTCTCTTTCTGTTTCTAAGCTAAACCAGGCCCGTTCACACCAAAAATGCTAATTATAAACGTATAACTATTATTAGCATCCACACCAACGCACGATAACATCCTGTTTGTTATAAGTGCACGCTACAGTTTTGTTGACTGCCACTTTAAATAATTTTTAAAAAAAAAATCAAATATCTTTTAAAGTGGGGAGGATTCTGATTGGCTGTCAATGTATCGTTCATCAGCTGAAAACAAACAAAAATATATTTTTTAAATTGATTCCAATGATATCGTTTTGATCGTTTTAGTTGTGGTGTGGACTCTGCTATTCAATGACTTTTACAACTACCGGTATATCTTTATTGTTGTAGATACCATCCTTGTTGTGAACTTGGCTTGTACTATCCTGAACAATGGCTGAAACTTTGTATGCGCTTCTCATGTTTATTGCCTCTTTAAGATGAATCACTTGTTGTATTCCTCAATTGTAATTGAAATCTGCTAAATGAACAAATGTAAAATGAACTAAGCTAAACTCTAATATTCTTATAGCCCAGAGCAGAAGAGCAGCACAAGACCTTAGCCAGAAGGTCAGAGTGTTATGCTGGGTAATGACGCAGCCTGAACACCTGGAATCTAGAACCCAACATGTGCGTGACACATGGGGCAAACGCTGCAACATCATTCTGTACATGAGCTCGAAGGAGTCAGACTTCCCCACGGTAGGGCTCAACGTGTCAGAAGGACGCAGTCAACTCTACTGGAAGACCATACGGGCCTTCCAGCACATTCACAAGCACCATCTGGATGATGCTGATTGGTTCCTCAAAGCTGACGATGACACGTTTGTTGTCCTTGAGAATTTGCGCTACGGTCTGTCCAAGCACAACACAGAGGAGCCACTGTATTTTGGACGTAGGTTCGCACCATTCGTTAAACAGGGCTACATGAGCGGAGGGGCTGGTTATGTCCTCAGTAAGGAAGCTTTGAGGAGATTCGTGAAAGGTTTTGCTAATGGACTTTGCACACACAACACAGAACTTGAGGATACTGGATTGGGACAATGCATGGAGACAATGAAAGTTAGGACAGGTGATTCCAGAGACGCGTTGATGAGACAAACCTTTCACCCTTACCCTCCAGGCTATTACCTGCCCAGACAGCTACCCAGACCACGACCCTGGCACCTCCTCTATGAGCATTATGACCCTGTTGAGGTAAGAAGGAGATGTTTTAGAGTGAATCAAGGCTGGAATACACTAAACAACTTTTGCCCTGATTTCTGCCCCAATTTACAGTCCGGAGGAGTCAAAAGTCATAAAGTTAAACAAACATAAAGTTGACAAATTTCACAGAAAATCATGTAGAGTATGATGGGCACAGATTCAGATTTTTTTTAATCTTCAAGACTGTAATTCCTTCCAGTCAAAGGAGATCAAACATGTTTGATCTTTTGAGCCGATTTTAGAACATGTCCTGTGTTGTTGTCCTGTGTCCAGAGCCATAGCTGGGGCCCACAGCAACAACCAGGGGTGCGTTTCCCAAAAGCATCGTTAGCCAACTATGGTCGCAAGTTCCGTCGTTATCAGCATAGTTCAACGAGTCTGTGTTTCCCGAAAACATAGTTCTAACGAACATTCGCAATCAGCATCGCAAAGTTGTGTGTTTGGAACGACAGCTCTTGACCTGTGATTAGAAGCAGAGTTTCTAGTTTGCATGACATGTGGACTCAACAAATCCTTATCTTGAGCCAAATAAGCAAGCTGACATTCAGTACAATCTATATCTTTTATTCAGAATACAATACATACAAATGTCATTTACGTCTATTATTTTGTCAAGAGATTTAAAGCGTTGTTTTTGAAGAGTGCACATGTGTAAACGTGCTCTAAGAACGAGCCTATGATTGAATCTGGAAATAAAGCAAAGTAACTGAGAAAAATTTGAAATAGTCCTGCCATGTCTGTGATTTATAGCAAAACATCTAGCATTAATTCGATCTCAAACAGATTCATTAAAAAGGGTTATTACTCCACCACATGCATGAAATCATTACCAACGTGGTTGAATGACAAATTTGCGAAAAATATGGTTTCGGGAGGGATTTCTTCAACGATGCATCGTACTACAGCAGTTAAGCAGCGAGTTACGTCATTGTACGGAAAACGCACCCCTGCACATGAAATCATCGGATGAAATTGTGGGGCCCTCCTAAGGCCGGGGGCCCCTAAAATCCTCACTACCTTTCGCCCCGCTAGCATCTAGGCGCTTGTGCGGTTGTTGCGTTCAGCAGTGTGTGACCCTCAGTCGTTTAGCATACAATACCCAGTTTTTCCTTTTAGCCATTTACAAAGTCAGTCATACAAAGTGTATGATGCTAAATGATTAAAAACCTGTTCAGATTTTAAAAGTTGTGTAGTGAATACCAGCCTTTAGGCTAATGTGGGTCATCACCTTCAAATGATAACAAATGATAAAGATGCCATTAATTCATTCTATCATTCCTGTGGGTGAAAATACAGACTCAAATAAAAAAAATTAAATGAAGTGATGTTTATGTGCATGTAGCTGATTTACATTTTATTCAATTAATTGTTATTAAAGAAAAATTCACCCCCTCCCCTCATCCAAGTCCTTGGTTCACAAGTCCACATGCTCAGTCTGTCAGCAGCTCATTGGCTCTCAGCAACATGGACATGTCCAAGTCCAAGACTGGTCTCGGTTTAGTGTTCTAGTACCCAGCTCTAGATTCGAGAACAGCCATCACAGTGTCCGTGTACTGTTGACTTGAGAACTACACTCACCTAAAGGATTATTAGTAACACCTGTTCAATTTCTCATTAATGCAATTATCTAATCAACCAATCACATGGCAGTTGCTTCAATGCATTTAGGGGTGTGGTCCTGGTCAAGACAATCTCCTGAACTCCAAACTGAATGTCAGAATGGGAAAGAAAGGTGATTTAAGCAATTTTGAGCGTGGTATGGTTGTTGGTGCCAGACGGGCCAGTCTGAGTATTTCACAATCTGCTCAGTTACTGGGATTTTCACGCATAACCATTTCTAGGGTTTACAAAGAATGGTATGAAAAGGGAAAAACATCCAGTATGCGGCAGTCCTGTGGGCGAAAATGCCTTGTTGATGCTAGAGGTCAGAGGAGAATGGGCCGACTGATTCAAGCTGATAGAAGAGCAACTTTGACTGAAATAACCAGTCATTACAACCGAGGTATGCAGCAAAGAATTTGTGAAGCCACAACACGCACAACCTTGAGGTGGATGGGCTACAACAGCAGAAGAGTCAGTAGAGTCAGAATTTGGCGTAAACAGAATGAGAACATGGATCCATCATGCCTTGTTACCACTGTGCAGGCTGGTAGTGGTGGTGTAATGGTGTGGGGGATGTTTTCTTGGCACACTTTAGGCCCCTTAGTGCCAATTGGGCATCGTTTAAATGCCACGGCCTACCTGAGCATTGTTTCTGACCATGTCCATCCCTTTATGGCCACCATGTACCCATCCTCTGATGGCTACTTCCAGCAGGATAATGCACCATGTCACAAAGCTCGAATCATTTCAAATTGGTTTCTTGAACATGACAATGAGTTCACTGTACTAAAATGGCCCCCACAGTCACCAGATCTCAACCCAATAGAGCATCTTTGGGATGTGGTGGAATGGGAGCTTCGTGCCCTGGATGTGCATCCCACAAATCTCCATCAACTGCAAGATGCTATCCTATCAATATGGGCCAACATTTCTAAAGAATGCTTTCAGCACCTTGTTGAATCAATGCCACGTAGAATTAAGGGAGTTCTGAAGGCGAAAGGGGGTCAAACACAGTATTAGTATGGTGTTCCTAATAATCCTTTAGGTGAGTGTATGCCACTGGATCACTGTCACATGAATATTTAGTGCCCCTTTATTAAACCGTTCGGTTGTGAGTTCCAGCTAAATACTGGTGGCTGTGAGTTTTACAAGACACTATCCTGGATAAACATCTTTTGTTGATCCTGGAACAACATTACATTACTGTCGAAAAGTATTCTAACCGTATTCCTACCCAGTCGTGGGAGTTGAAACAATCAAGTCAGACAATTTCTGCTTCCTTGTTGGTCCAGGAACAACTCTGTAATTAACTATTTGTATTTGATTGACAAGTTTCCAGTTAAGAGGTGTGTTCAGGATGTTGATCCAGGAACATGTCATTATTGACGTAGGGTAATTCTACAATGGCATCTTATCCCAAAATGTTTGCTTTTGCATGATGCTACATCCACAGCAATAATAATTATTATTATTATGATAATAATCAGTAATAATAATGATGATGATTTGACTGTTAAACCCCCTTGGAATGAAAATAAAATACCTCTAGGCCTTTTTCACATTTCCTGGCTTATGATCAATCAGTCAGATGCAGATATAACCAGGACATAGTAAAGAAAAATCACATTTATATTCAGGGATGATTTAGGTATATAGACCTAAAAGAGAGAAGCAAGATGTATATGAGTACAGTAAAAAAAATAAAAACTCCTTTCGTAGGTCTCTCTTGACTCTCCTTCTCAGCTGGGATTTGATTGATTGTTCTTTATCTTAATATACATTGTTCTGTTCTTGTGTTTTTAGGGCCCTGGATGCTGTTCAGATTTAGCCATCTCTTTCCACTACATAGATGCAGTGGGAATGCACACACTAGAGTACTACACCTACCACTTACGCCCATATGGATATAAATACAGATTTAACCCAGATTAACTGATTAACAAATAATAGAAACAACAGAAAATCTAAAAATAAGACAGCATTCAAAATGTTATCTTTTAAAGTGAAATTTATTAATACATGTTTACATTACTTCACAGTAAGACCATTACATGTAAATAATGTTATATTTATTGTTCTATAATACATATTAAAACAGGTTTTACAAAGTTACAGACTAAGAACTTTATTGTTCAAAACATTAATAACATAAGCTCCGGAAACACAATGGTTCGCTTCATCACAGACCGAACGTAAAAAATTCAAGTTGAGAATATTTGTTAAAATCTGTCAAATGTAAAACAAGTTAATCCAAACTTTGGATGTCATTAATTATATCGGAAATGACTTCTGGATGTTTAATTGTCTTTTATTATGAGTCATGCTCACTGCTAAGTAAACATGAAACATGATATATGGGTAAACATCCTTGAAATGCAAATTCTGTTAAATCACACAATATAATACAACTACTACTATAATATAATACAAGTACTTCCCGGTACATAGTATTAGTAATTTTGTGCAATACTTTTCTGTTGCATAATATATTGGTCTATAGTATCATCTTAATGTATGTACATACTTTATGATGCTTACATTGCAAAACCATTCAAATAATCATGGATTTAGAGTGGCATACATTAAATTTTACTTTATACAGTTTAATGAGGGAGGGTCACTTTAGCAGAACTTTAGCTTCTTAACATTAGCTTTGAAGTTAACGTAATGTATTATTTAACGCATTTTTTTTTGTTTACAAAAATACTTTGCAGTTAAACAGTAATTGGTGGACTCCCTGCAGAATTGCCCGGTGATGACCACATATGATGACCCCAAATTATGTATATAAGCATATTTCATAATTATTTTAAAACAAAGGGGATTACCATCACCTCTTTTTTACCACTTTTTGGAAAAAGTAAGTTATAATTCACTAGTAAGTTGACGGAAATCACAATAAACAAAAATATTTACAATGCTGTATTTTTAAGGTTGCAACATACAGAAAATGATTATTTAAAATGAAGAAATTAATGATACTTTCAGTGCGACTAGGAAGAATATACATGTTATTCTCAAGAAAATGGAGCAGCACTAAGTCTAGTAAACAATAATTAAAGTAGTTGGTCCACAATCGGATCTACAGTCAGTGTAGGATTCCTTACTGTTCTCATAAAAGACATGTACTATGAAAATGCATAGTGCATGACTGCAAAGTTGACAGCTTAAAAAAAAAGAAAAATAAATCTACTGAATGAAGCCCTGTGCTTTATTGTGAATGTGTGTTATGTCTGCACACAAGCGCTTATACAAATGTCTTCTGTCACAAAGCGGTTGCTGTTGCCTTGGCAACCACCATACCAGAATTGTGCGCACGAGTTGGCCTCCGGGTCATAGTACCACATCACCCTGTACTCTCTACATGGCCCAGGGTCCAATCCCTGCCTACAGTCTACATCTGAAAAACAACAACAACATAGATCTGAAGTACTTGAACAAAATCTGGATTCAAACTAAATTTAAATGTGAATGCTCAAGAAGTGACCCAGGATGATAGATAATTGTGGTGTAAGCCAGTGCATTTACCTTTCACGAAGGCATCAGGCTGAGGGGGCGGTGCAGGTAGATTTCGTGGAGGAGGGCTGATTTCTGGAACATGCCGCCAGTTTATGGGCGTCTGGGGTCCTACTACTGAGATGGAGGACTGCTGTCTCATCTTATCTCCAGCTGGGGCCTCTGTCACCTTAGGGAGCTCATTGACAGATTCGTCAAAGGTATTCCAGTTTGTGTCAGTATTCGTGTCATAATATTCATCTGGTTGTTGAGGAGAAAGGGTGCTCTCAAACTCTGTTGGAAGTTCAGCCTGTGATAAAGAGAATTTTTCAGACTGTATGGCATGCGGCATTGTGGCAGCACAAACATAAGCTCTTTCCAGCAAAATATCACCTTCAGTTGGTGTTTACATTATGATTATCGATCATTTTATGTGCTACTTTTTCTCCATATCAATGTTTTTGTTATTTCTGTTCATATTTTATGATATTAACAGCATTTTGTGTCCAGATCTATTAATTTATTCAGAAATGCATGTAAATATAATGACATTTTATAAATTACTTTAGCGATGAGCAGGGCTTTAATTTCTTAGTATTCATAACTGATTAGATATTTGAAAAAAAAAGTTGTTCCTTTTTTATTTTGAAAAATAAATTTAAAAATGTTTTTGAAAATAATGATTAGGTGTAAGGAAAATATGTTATTACTTTTTTACTTGATGGTTACATCACGAAATCAACGTGACGTTTTTCTTGTTAAAAAAGTTTATATTTTAAGTGTATTTTTACGAAGCCCACACATCATTAAAAAAAAAAAAACTTAATCATGAGATTCATGACTTAATTCATGGCCACATTTCATTAATTAATTCCCTCATCTTAGGGAAATCGTGGCCATGATTTACCTAAAATATGGGAGCAAATCTTTAATTTGTGCTCAAAACATCTTTTTTTTTTTTTTTTTTTTTTCACATCATGTGCGGGGCTCTACCATTTTAATTTGACTGACAAGTTTAATATTTCTCTTTAAAAAACATTTTGCTCAATCTGTATAGTGTCTTCTTTTTACGGTGTTTTTCTGTAGTATGCAAAATGACCTCTTTGCCTACTGTGATGAAATAATCACTGGTGGAAGCTTCAGTTCCATCTGGAAGTGGATCAGGCCTAAATGGAGGGAATGTTTTGCCGTTTGGGGTGAAGAGCGTTCCATCATCACGCTCACAGATCTGACTTAGCAGTTTAATCTCCAGTGCTGAAAAATCGCAAAACCTTAGCATTAAAATATTTAGCCAAGTACACCATATTTAAAAGAAATACAGGAGTACGTACTGTGCAGTCTCATGAAGTCATCAATTAAGTAGACATACTCTTCATCAGGATCAGATGCCAAAATGTTCATCTCCTTCTTAAACTCTGCATACTGGGAGTCACTTCTGTTCATTATACCAATCACGAGGATTTCAATCCCAGCATCGTGAGCCTCTTCTGCAGCGTCTTTCAGGCTCACTGCATCGCGCTTGTCGGCCTGACCATCCGTCAACACGACTGCAACCTTTCTAACGCCGGGCCGAGCTGCTTGAAAGAGCTGAGTGGCCCGGTGGACGGCGCTGCCCGTGAAGGTGCCCTCGCCCAGGTACAGCATCCTGCGCACAGCAGTTTTGATGCCAGCCTGGTCAGACAGCTGTTGTAGACTCGCCACCACCTCGTCAACATGACTGTACTGCACCACCCCAACACGCGTAGCTTCTCGGCTCACGGACATGCGATCGATCAGAGCGTTCACGAAGTCCTTCACGACCTCAAAGTTCTCCGGACCCACACTCTCTGAGCTGTCGATGATAAAGACCAGCTCCAGAGGACCCGTCCGGCATTTCACACCACATCCTGAGAGAAAACGCAAAAAAAGTAAGAGCCTCCACCTAACACAGATTAAACAGCCTATATATAGTTTTGCAGTTTGAGTGGTAGGGATGGTTATATACCACATATTTCCCGGATTATTCTGATAACCTCTTCTCTCTGCGGGGGTGAAGTTCAATGTATGTTATTTATACAATATTTGTGAGTATCTGATGACAAAGTGTTTATGAAACATGTTTTGACTCACAGATAGGCCAGGATCTCCCTTCTCTCCTGGTTTTCCCTATACAATTTAAGTAGAATTTTATTAGTAACAGGGTATTTTCTGGATATTCTACATTATCTTGAAACATCTGCTTTAGGTAAATAGGAACTGAATTAAAGGTGGGCTACAATCTGTTGAGGTTACATTAGAGTAAATGTCCGGTCACGTTTAAAATTGTTTGGTGAATTTTAACGGATGAAATCCAGTCGGTTTAATAGAATTTTATGTGATGGTAAAAGAATTCCCCATGCAAATTCGGCAACGGATTCAAGTTCTTCACGCAGATTCGCAACAAAAAGCTTGGTTTTGGAAGTGACATCTGTGTGAGTAGTGCTTCATTCATCGCTACAATATGGACTTTTTTATTAATGTGACTGCACTTTAATAATGATAGTCATGATAGCGAATAACTAACAGATGAAATATAGCTGCAAGCCGAAGACAAACTGTCTTGATTACTTGATCACTGGTTTTTGTACTTGTAATGCCTCCAGGACTAGAATTGAAATTTTGAAACCGTGTTGTAGAACTCGGCTATACTCTGTCTTGAGTCTGTATGGTCTTGTTATGGACTTGGGAGCATTTGGACTTGTTCTTGACTCGAGCCCAAGTCCAGTCTTGAATACTACAACACTAGATATGTTTTGTGGTCTGTGGTCTCAACCTTGACTCTGACTCAACCTTCACAGGTCTCAGCCTGCACTTAGACTCAAATTAGCTGGTCTCAACTACAAGGCCGCCTAGTAAACCATGATATGAGCATTTGCTAACTGATAACTGGATATTACCTTGGTTCCTGATTGTCCAGGCACTCCATGTTCTCCTCTCTCTCCTTTTCTCCCACGCTCACCCACTAGGCCTCTGTCACCCTAAAACCATCAGACTTTGTTACATTGTCTTTTGAAGAGTACTATATTAACCATACTGACATACATCACAATCAGTCAGTGTTTGCCTTTCTAGTACCTTCTCTCCTGGCAGGCCATCACCTGGAGGCCCTCTTGGACCAGGGGGCCCTTGAAAACCAGAGTTTCCCTGTGATAACAAAATGTTTATTTAGAGTTCTAAGCTTTTGTATGATAAAGTTATGTTTTGCTTTATGTCCTAGTTGATAGAGCTACCGTATAATGAGGCCTGCAGGCCTTGGAGCCTTACCTTGGGACCCTGAATTCCCTCTCCTGTAGGGCCTGGAAGACCTGGAGCACCAGGCTGGCCAACTGCACCCTATAACAATCTCATAAGAATTAATCAACATAAAATGTGTATTGGCTCTACATACAGTATGTTCTAGTGATATTGAACCTTTGATCCCATCAGTCCAATTCCTGGGGGCCCTGAAGGGCCAGTTGCTCCGGGTGAGCCCCTGTCTCCCTGAAAACAACATCAATTTAGCAGAAACGCTTACTTTGCTCACTTTCTGAAAGATATAAAGTCAGCAATTGTTTATTTTAAAATTGCATAATGACCAATACCTTTGGACCAGGAATTCCTTGTCCTTCAGGTCCAACTTCACCCGGCAGCCCAGGCAACCCTGGAAACCCCTGAGAATATATCACATGTATAGATATTACTGCTTTTGTTTTCTGAAAGTCTTTTGTTTCTGTGTTGTTCATCTCCTTTACGCACCCGTGGTCCGGGGTAACCCTCCCCCTTCATTCCTAGTGGCCCCACTGGTCCTGGACTTCCTCTGTCACCCTGAAACATGCCAATGTAGATTTTATTAGAGAAAAAAAAAAAACTCCTATTAAACTATGTAATATGTATTTGTATCTATAACCTTAGGGCCTGTAGTCCCAACACCGGGCTCTCCAACAGGACCGGAGGGGCCTGCTGGTCCTGGCTCACCCTAACAATACATATGCAACCAACATAATGATGAAGAGCATGTACAGTATATACAATAATGTATAACATTAGGTAAGAATGCAAATAGCCAACCTTGTTGGCAAAAGCTATTTTCACTAGCTCCGCCCACCATTTCTCGGCTATTTACCTTTAGTACAAACAGGATATTACTTCTTTTTACACTTTGCGTGAATAGCATCTATCTCTATTTGCACTTTTGTGAGACATATACATACCTTTGAACCAGGCAATCCTCGACCCGGAGGTCCAGGTAACCCCATCATACCTAAACTCCCTGGTTCTCCCTATAAATGAAAAGGACATATTGTATTAATAGCAATCATTTTTAAAAATGGTAATAGTGTACTGTATATAAGGCATTGTGATCAGTGAACGATCATATTATAATTTATAAAGAGCAGGAGTGTTACTGCAATATTGAATATCAAGAAAGCATTTATGGAATATAATTATAGTTTAAAACAATATAGATACTTTTGAAGAAAAAAATAGTTGTATTAACAATAGCTAGGACACATTTCAGCAGTTAATTTGACAGCAGTTAATCTGACATTCAAAATGCAAAAACACTTCATTCATGTCTCAAATCAACTCATTCTTCCTTAACACTAGCAAGGGTTGTGCTAATTTTGTAGGTTTTGAAATAACAAATTAATTTAGACTGATGAGATAATATATTGAATCCAGCATGTCCTATAAGAGTTGTTGCTTTGTGCCTATTTCCAACGACTTTTTTAGTGACAAAGTCCAGGAAATACATTTTAGATTTGCAATATATTTTATTAGTTTATGGGTTTATGGATGAATATTCTCACAACCCAAGGCCGACTGTTAAATTATTGATTATGAGAAACCATAAAAGTGTACAACTAAACTCTAAAGACCATTTATGAACTCCTTAAAAGTCATCTGATCATGAAATATGACATTCCAAACCTCGAAACATAACAACCTGGGCATTAACCTCCACATTGCAAAATTAAATGTAAAGGGTAAATGTGTCCCACCCACCTTGGCCCCTGGGGGTCCCGCTGCTCCAGGGCTTCCTGGGAGACCCCGAGATCCTCTGTCACCTCTGTCCCCCTGTGGAGAGATTCATAAACACTATTTAGTGTGATTATGACAGTGACATTTTTCACTTCAATACATTCAAAGACAGTATTTGAGATTATTCAGCTTTTTGATCATAGACTAACTTTGAAATGGAGTTGAGTGGCATGATGTTATGCAGTATTTTATTTCAAACTCAAGCCTCATGAATACACATGTAAGATATTAAGATGTTATATTTTGCAAGAAAATGGAGGCTATTTTTAGGACTTGCGACAGCATATTTTAAGACATTTACTTTTGAGTTTTTTTGTAATTCTCATTATTCAAGGTTGATGTTAAGACAATGTTGATTCGCATCATTATTGCTGTGACAGTAAAAAAAAAAAAAAAAATCTAATACAGTGTTTTTTATTAAAATCTGCAAAAAGGCAGTAGAACAAATACTACCATACTAAAAAAATTAAGGAAACCGTAACATAAAATTACAAAAATAATAATATTACAATATTACATTTTTATGTTTTTGAAAAATTACTTATGCTCACAAATATTGTATTTATTTGATCCGAAATACAGTAAAAACAATAATATTTTGAAATAAGTTTACAATTTAAAATAACTGTTTTCTATTTGAATATATTTGAAAATGTAATTTATTCCTGTGATGCAAACCTGAATATTCAGCATCATTACTTCAATCTTCAGTGTCACATGATCCTTCAGAATTAATTTGAAAATGCTGATTTGCTGCTCCAGAAACATTTATTATAATAGGCCTAATCAATATCGAAAACAGTTGTGCCGTTTAATATTTTTGAGGAAACTGTGATACATTTTCATTTTCATGATTCTTTGATGAATAGAAGGGTCAAAAGAACAGCATTAATTTGAAACAAAAATATTTTGTAGCATTATAAATGTTTTTACTCACTTTCAATCTATTGAATACATCTCTTCTGAACAAAAGTATACATTTCGGTAACACTTTATTTTACAGTCATGTACTTACTGTAGTAAAAACAGTATATTATGCATAATTACATGCAACTAACCTTAAACCAAACCTTAATTCTAGCCCTTACATGTTGTTAATTAATATGATTTAGTACTTAAATGTGTAGTTACATTGTATCAGGGACACCTTAAAATAGTGTAACAAAAAGGCAAAACCTTACTGACCCCAAACTTTTGAATAGTAGAGTACTTTCTTTTGATAACAATGTGATATGCAATCTGGACTTGGCTGGTTTTGTGAGATTCAGCCCTAAACTAAATTATATAAAACATCCGGTGACAGATATCTTTCCACCAATTGAAATGGTTACAACCTGTGTTAAACTACTTTATTGTTCGCAGAGAATGAGACAATGTTTGCAAATGACAGAAAATATATTACATTGTTTCCCAAAAGGGCAAATATTGACTCCTGGACTCACTGAATGTATAACTCACTGTTTAACCATGAGAGATGCTTTTCAACTATAACTTAATCCGTATAATTGTGGTAAGTAAGAAACATTTTTAGAAAGAAACGTCATACCTTCTCACCGGGAATTCCTTTCCCAGGTGAGCCTTCTGGACCTCGTGCACCAGGCAAACCCATCTCACCCTAACATAATAAAGAAAAGACAGAAATGCCCGGGTGAGGAAACAATATAGGAAAGCAATGCATGTGTGCTTTATTGAAGCTTTCCTGTATTTGCTGTCAAATAAGAATGTGTTATAGTCACAGTGGCTCCAGAAATATGTAGACATTTAAGGCACACCTTAAAACTTATGACTTTATATGACATTCATTAATTGTTAAGGGTAGCTTAAGTGACGGTCCATTGGTTAATTTTTAAATGAAATAGTAACCATATTACAAGAAACCTGTGAGCCAGGATGTTGTGTTTCACTGTACCTTTGGACCCACAGAGCCATCTTCACCTGGGATGCCAGGAATGCCAGGTGCTCCATCTGGTCCTGGTTCACCCTTAATTCATGAAACAACTATATCACTATTACATAAAACATAGAGTATATTAAATACAGGTGAAACTCGAAAAATTAGAATATTGTGAAAAGGTTTTTTTATAAGCTGTAAGCCATAATCATCAAAATTACAACAAATAAAGGCTTGAAATATCTCACTTTGCATGTAATGAGTCTATATAATATATTAGTTTCACCTTTTAAGTTGAATTACTGAAATAAATGAACTTTTGCACGATATTCAAATTTTTCGAGTTTCACCTGTATATGGTCATATAGTTAATATTTAATTTGGTTTGTGAGGACATTAAAATTGTACATACTTTTGGTCCTGGTTCTCCTATTCCTCTCTCACCTTGTGGCCCAGATTCTCCTGGAAAGCCTTGATCTCCCTGGGAACATTTATACAATCACAAACACTGATAATCACACAAACCATTAATGGAATAATTCATCCCAAACGTTTTAAACAGTGTTATTGTAGTATTATTTATATACTATTGTTTTATTTGAATATTATGTTTTATATTTCTATATAGCTTTAATGAAAACTCATTTCAGTTTTAGTCATTTTAGTATTTACAGTGACATTTACAGTAATGTATTTACAACAAATTTACAGTATTTCAGTTAGTTGCCAAAGCGACATTTAAAACTTCCAATTTTTACATTTGTTTTTATATCTAATATTTATATTTTGTTTTATTTCATATTTATTTTAATTATTACAATTATTTTAATTAGTTTTACTGATTTGAAACCATATGACAGTGAGTTTCTTTTGAGAGTGAACCATCCCTTTAAAAGTCTTATTTACTGCATTATTTATGATCATAGAAATATAAAGATGTCTTGCATTCAATAACCGCATGCACGCATTGGGTTTCCATGTTTTGTGGGGACTTTCCATAGACATAATGATTTTATACTGTACAAACTGTATATTCTATCCCTAAACCTTTGCATAACAGAAAACTTTCTGAAAATAACTTTTTGAAATGACTTTCAAAAAACACTATTCTCTATGATTTATAAGCTGTTTTCCTAATGGGGACCAAAAAAATACCTCACACGGACAAGGATTTCCATCTTTGTGGGGACATTTTGTCCCCATAATGTAGGGTTTACTTGAACGAACCACACACACACACACACACACACACACTGCACCTTAGGGCCCACCATGCCCACTCCAGTGGGGCCTCTTGGTCCAGGTGGTCCAATGGGTCCCAGGTCTCCCTGCAGCCAGAGATGCCACATCAAAAAGTATTTTCAAATTGAATGCTGTACTATGATTTCCTATAAAACAATGTCGGCATTTGGGTGCAACCTATGGATAGATAAGAACTTTGCTTTACCTTTTCACCCTGGATCCCTACTCCTGGAAATCCCATCAGTCCAGGTAAACCCAGTTCCCCTGTGTTACCCTACAGAAGAAGGAAATAAGTACTTAGAGCAGTGTCTTATTGTTGGATCTGATTACACTCCACGACAGCATGTAATTTTTTTTTTTTTTTTATAATGTATTGTACCTTATCACCCTTGATGCTAAACCCAGGAGGTCCACGTACACCTTTAGGACCCTCAAATCCCCGGTCACCCTGAAAGCATCATTACATTATTCAGTACATAATTAGATGTCAATCACATGAGCAGCGCACTTTAGCATACTAGCATTTTTACATAGCAAAAATAGTACTTAAGGAAATGATACACTTTAAAGGAATATACCTGAGTGTGTTAATGTATGTAATGTTTTCAGACACTTAATTACATGTTAATTTAAAATTGAATGAAAATGTATTATAATTTAAATTTTTAATAAATGAAATTAGCTGAACTTTATAGGGTGCTTTTTTGACCCACTTATGTAATTTCATATTTATTTCTATTGTTATTGAAATATGGTTAAAGTGTACTGAATGTACTGACAAGCTAACTAAATATGCTAAAATATTATGGTAAACTAAAATATACAAGTATTTAAATATATTTTTAATTACACACTTATAATGTTTAGTACATACTTTAAATGTAAGTATAAATGAAGTTGCAATTCAGTCTTAACTTTAAATGAAATATCGAATAACAAACTAAACTAAATTATTATCAAATACTTCACATGGGCTTTAATATGTTAGTCAACACATCAAAACAAGTGTACTTCTTTAAAGCATGAAAAAAGATAATTAAAACATAATGAATAAAATGTACTTTAAAAAATTTAATTTGACATTATTCACTTTTTAATCCATTTTTAAAAAGTGCACTTAAATGTTTGAAGAAACAGTCATGAAAGTGTACTCTCTTTAGTACACTTAAGTGGCTTGCCTGTTTTTTTTATAAATGTAATTTTTTAAGATATAAAGTACACTTCAAGTGCACATTAAAAACAATTAAGCACACTTATTTTTCACAAGGGGAGGTAGATAGAGGTTTGTATTGTTAACTCTTGCCTTTGGCCCTGGTAAACCTTCTCCTGGAAACCCTTGGTTGCCTTGAACTCCTTGAGGTCCTGATTGGCCCTAACAAACAGATATGAAATATTAGCACATTATACTATACATACCCAGTGGATAAGATGCCCGATAGTTGCCTGTTGCAGAAAAACACATGACTGAGGATGTGTCTCCCTCTACTGCCGAATCACTTCACTCACAGGCATTCCTGGCTCCCCTATACCAACAGGCCCGGTGGGCCCAGGTCTGCCTTGGCTACCTTTTTCCCCCTTACAAAACACAAAGAGTTTACATGGATATGATTACATTATAATTATAATAAAAACTGCATACTGATACACTACTGTTCAAAAGTTTGGGGTGCGTACATTTCTTTAATGGTAAAGTTTCATATGCTCAACATAGCTGTACACTAAAAACAGTAATCTTGTAAAATATTATTAAAATATAAAATAACTATATATATGTGTGTGTGTGTGTGTGTGTGTGTGTGTGTGTGTGTGTGTGTGTGTGTGTGTGTGCGTGTGTGTGTGTGTGTGTGTGTGTGTGTGTGTGTGTGTGTGTGTGTGTGTGTGTGTAATATATTTTTGTGATGCAAAGCTGAATTTTCAGCATCATTACTCCAGTCTTCAGCATCACATGATCCTTCAGAAATCATTTTAATATGCTGTTTTGCTGCTCAAGAAACATTTCTTATTATTATCAAGTTATCAGTGGAAACCATGATACATTTTTTTTCAGGATTATTTGACAAATAGAAAGTTCAAAGAATATAATTCATTTGAAATTGAATATTTTTGTGACAACGTAAAGGTCTGTGCTGTCACATTTGATAAATTTAATGTATCCTTGCTGAAAAAAAAAAAATAGTACTGAACCCAAACTTATGAATGGAAGTGTATATAAAAGAAAACAGTTCTGTGGTGTGACAATTGTCTTGTTATCTCAATTATTCATAAAATACATAAACTGCATGCATGACAATTATAAATAAAAATGTAGCATGTCACTGCAGAACACGGATTGAAATGTTGTGTAACAAATGTTGTCTAACCAGATATTAAAATATGTTTGGCATTATCTTGAAATCAAAACTAATTAGCTAATCTAAAGTCATTACCTTTGCACCAGGAAACCCAACCCCTGGGTCCCCTGGATGTCCGGTGGGTCCGCTAGGTCCTCTCTCACCCTGGGAAAGATGTCACTGTCATTCCATGATCCATATCATTTTCATGTTTCCATTCATAATACCACATCATAATGGTGAGATGCAACATCCTTACTTTAGGTCCAACAGGGCCCTCAGGGCCAGAGTCACCAGGGTTGCCGCTCAGTCCCTGAAACAGGTAGACATTAATTTATTAGTCTATTATATTTTACACGCAAATCACATCTATGATCTATGAGCTAGTTGTACTGAAAGAGGGTGTCTATTTAAATATTGAAGGACTTTTACAGTGTACTAGACCTCTACCAAGCTATGCCATCAATTATAATGTGTTTTAACTGGACACATGACAGCCAGACACACCAGAGAATAGACTGTGTGGGAAACTGAAGCTCTCTAAATCTGAATCGGGTCAAAAAATGGAGGCTACAAACTGTCATCAAACCAAAACCACAAGGACAGAGATTGAAGTAGGAGGGCAGGAGATAGTAACCCCTGTCCCCATGCTAATCCAGAGGAACAAAGAAACCCGTCAGAGAGGAACAATGGCGTGTAGGCCTGGATTCACTTCTTTAGCTATGTTACATTAGTGTAAGAACAGCACTTGATCCCTCAATCACATTCCATAAGTGCAGGGAGGAGAGGCTATCTGACTGTGTGAGTGGGATCATTTCCTCACTGAGTTTGGGAGGTATGTTACTCTTCATTCATTACTGTAATTATATCAAATATTTAATAATTCAATTTAATAATTCAATTTAATAATAATTAATATTTATTTAATATTGGTAATATTTGATTCATTTATACTGTTTGTTTATTTTTTTTTATCAAAATATTTGATAAAATAGCAAATAGTACCTTTTTTGCACACACACACACACACACACACACTACCGTTCAAAAGTCTGGGATCGGTAAGATTTCTTAACAATTTTAAAAGAAGTCTCTTATGCTCACCAAGGCTGCATTTATTTGATCAAAAATAACATAAAAACAGGAATATTGTGAAATATTATTACAATTTAAAATAACCATTTTCTATTTGAATATATTTTAAAATGTAATTTATTCCTATGATGTCAAAGCTGAATTTTCAGCATCATTAATCCAATCATGATCATTCAGAAATCATTCTAATATTCTGATTTACTACTCAAGAGACATGTATTATTATTATCAATGTTGAAACATTTTTTTTAGGATTCTTTGACTAATAGAAAGTTTAAAAGAACAGCATTTATCTGAAATAGAAAGCTTTTGTAACATTATACAGTACCATTCAAAAGTTTGGGGTTAGTTAGAATATTATTTTTTTAAAGAAATTAATACTTTTATTCAGCAAGGATGCACTAAATTGATAAAAAAGTACAAACAATTATTATTTTACAAAAGCTTTCTATTTCAGATAAATGCTGTTCTTTTGAACTTTTTATTTATCAAAGAATCCTGAAAAAGAATTGTACACAACTGTTTTCAACATTGATAATAATAATAAATGTTTCTTGAGCAGCATATTAGAATAATTTCTGAAGGATCATGTGACACTGAAGATTGGAGTAATGATGCTGAAAATTCACCTTTGCCATCATTTAAAAAAATATATTAAAATTGAAAACAGTAATACAGTTGAACAGTAATAATATTTCTGTTTTTACTGTATTTTAGATCAAATAAATGCCGCCTTGGTGAACATAAGAGACTTATTTAAAAAAAATCGTACAAATCCCAACATTTTTAACACTATAAAAAGAGGATAAAAAAGGCAACCTGATCTCCTCGTTGTCCACGTGGTCCAGGAGGTCCGTCCTGGCCCTGTGGGAATGAAGGACAGGATCATCATGACAGATTGTGGGCCGCAGACCACAGATCAAGAGAATCATTTACAAAACGTACTTCATCTCCTTTCACCCCTGGGGTGCCACATTCTCCTTTTCCACCCTATACGGAGAGAGAGTGGAAGTTAATTTCATTATCATGTGTCTAATATCATCTATAACGCTTCATCCTCAGGCTGTCTTCTGTGACATAGTCTCCTGATGTTTTAAAAGCATCAGTCAGGATTAAACAGCTTTCATAATTTACTGACAAGCAGAATAGCTTCATGTTGTACAGTAAAATTACGGAATACACTGTCATTAAGTCAAATATACTAGCCTTTTCTCCTCTTGGTCCTGGTCTTCCCTGTAACAAAACAACAGACTTGATCGCTCAGAAACCAACCAATGAACATGCAAAAAAATATACATACTAATGTAATAATAAAAATATATACATAATAATATATGAGGATATAGTACCCTTATACCCTCTAATCCTGGACGTCCATTTAAACCTCCTTCCCCCTATGAATAAAAAGAGAAAACCCTAAAATCAGATTTGAGAACAATTCTTTACATGTTCTGAGGAAAATACAAGTGATTTTTGCCTGTGCACAACTCGCTTCCACAATTCCAGGGTGTAGTGGGTGGTCGCCAGGGTGTTGCTATGTTCTGACTGGTTGCTAGGTGGTAGTTTACCTCTGGTCTATACGTGTCATCTCTATTTTTTTATGTAATATATTTATATATAAAATAATTTTCCAATCAAAAATCACAACTCTGTTCATCTTAAGCGAACAAAAAATAACACAGAATTTGTATTCAAATTGTACTTACTTTAGATCCTTTAGGACCAGGAGGCCCATCAACTCCTGGATCGCCTGGTTTACCCTAATATTTACAAGAAGTTATAGAATGAGCAGGCAAAATAACTTCAAACATACATTTTAAATAGCATGGTTGAATGTTGAGCCGCAGCTCATTGGCTGCTGATGCAACAACAACCAATCAGCTGTGCTATGTATATAAATGACGTGATTGCTACCAAATGAGTTAAAGACCTATATAAGAATATTAAAACTATTAAAGACTAATAGCCTGCACCATCTAGTTTCAGGCCAAGAACTAGGTATTTACTGACAAGTGAAAGCTTTCCCATTTAAGTTCTGAGTCAGTGGATTTGACCTCCACATTAATTCTGCATAGATTTATGAGTGTTGATTTTGATGCAAAACTTTTTGTTTGTTTAACACTGCATAATCCCATGGGCCCTGTTGTTCAAAAAGTTTAATCTGGATCAGATTTATCTATATTTGGACATCAAAAGGTAGAAGAGTCAATGTCGGGTCACTTGAAGTGTTTTATTTGAAGAGAAAGTAAACAACAAACAAGCATCCCCTTTCATTTTCAATTTCCTTTAAACAATAAGACCTTTACTGTGGCACTAAAGGGATATGGTGATGGGAACAATTATATATTTTAATACTTTTGAGTTCTTTTGCAAAAGATTTGCGTTCTTCCAATAAACTGTGTCAATTTGCAAAGAACTCAAGTTTTGAGAGTGAAGTGAATGCAAAGTGTCTTGGGGGAAAGCAAACATTTTTCTTAACACAATCTTACTAAAAAGTTTTAAACAACACAAATTGACAATTTGCTGATCAATCAAAACCAAGATTGTATTTTGTGATCTAATCCAATTTCAGAATCCTTTTTTTCTTTTGAACGACCCATTTTCAAGGTTTGATCCAATCCAATAGCCGAAATCTGATTAGATTACTTTTGGACAACTGGGCCCTGGTCTTGATCCTAAACCCCCTGTGAAGCGTACACATATTTGAAAGCACAGAGGGGTCCTCTTGAATGCTCCAGCACCTGCTACACTTGCAGTGTGGGAAACACTTCCTACGCTTTCATGTACCGCCTCTCTGATCGTCCTGAATCCACCTGCTCTGCTCTGGCTGTAAACCAGGGCTTTCAGACTCAGAGCGATGGAGTTAACCGCTTCACATTGTTAGATCAAACACAGCTCAGAGAGAGGATTACTGCTGTTTAACAATTCTTCCTCAAACAATTCGAACTTTGTTTGTTCATGTGCATGGATCAGGCCAGGATCTACTGTAGTGTTTGAAACTGTCTTCCACATCATAGGTCTGATGTCTCCATTCAGAGTATTCAGAGACTGATTAGACAAAAAAAAAAAAAAAAAAATATTAAGCTGTTATTTTAGTATTATGGAGAGACTGTTGTAATTTCTGTTAATATTATTAAATAGTTGTTTTTCAAAAAAATTCTGCTTTCATTTGAATTTTAGTTTACTTTTTTAGTCATTTTGTTATGTTTTTGTGATTTTTATTATTTTTAAAAGTTTTAGTTTTGGTAATTTTAGTACTTCAAGTAAAACGAAATGGAAATGAGAAATGCTGTTGTTTTTGTAACTAGCTGAAAAAAAATAGTTTTGATATTTTATTTTATTTCAGTTAAAGTTTGCAGTATTTTATTTCGGTTTCACTTTATTTTGATGGTCACTTTAAGACATTCTGTTGGCTACAAGTAACGTTGCACCTACTGTACATGTCTAATAACTCATTAGAGTATTAGTAGACTGGTAGGGTTAGGGTTAGAATAAGTTGACATGTAGTTGCAAAGTTTCTTATAGTCAGTAGAATGTCTGTTGGAGGACCATCACAATAAAGTGTTTGCAGATATGAAGCAGGCAGTCTACTAATACTTTAATGAGAGTTTAATAAGTTGACATGTTGTTGCAAAGTTACTTAGTTAAACAGAATTTTCAAAAGAGACCATCACAATAAAGTGTTACCTTTATTTCAAGAATCAAACGTTTTTATGGTTTTAGTTATAGTTAACTGTAATGACCCTGGCTGTAATGTTTAAGAGCCAATGACAGATTAATCATGTTGGTACTTTTGTGATTATGAACATCTACAATTATTTCCTATTTTATCAATCTGCAGAGAAAGCTGGATATGATATGATGAGAATTGACTGGGCTGTCAAACTGATTTAGATATGAACTCACTGGTTTTCCAGGAGGACCTCTCTTTCCTTTATCACACAGACAGGATTTGGGCTGAGGACACTGTAACAGAGAAATAAGCCATTAGAGATAAGTGATACAGCATGCCATATTATGTGGAATCGCAGTGTTTACTACTTTTTATTTTATTTTATTTTTGTCATGTGTATGATTGTCGTGATCCAAACACTGACACCGAAATAACAAATTCTTTAATGAACACGAAAGATACACGACAAAGGGCATAGCCAAACAGGGAATATAACAAGGCTCGGGATAATACGTAACTATAGAAACAAACAAGGATTTAATCATAAGCCTATAGGAAATCGAAACTAAACACAGCAGGGAAACAGAAACCAAGGAAAACAAAACAGAATATCACAATAAGAGTCCATAGAACCAAACATAACCGTAACTATTTTATTTTATTTTAAATAGGCCATTTTATGACCTTTTACAAGGTCCTGATTTTGTTTTTGGGGTCTCGAATAGGATTTCATGGTTGAATGTTCAAAAAAACATTATTTTTCACATATTTTACATTAATGCAACATCTCCCTTCCTAGTCTGTAAGTAAAGCTCTATTTAGTTTCTGTCTCTATGAAGCTCCTTCTTCGAACATGTTTCGGAATTGCCCTATTTTGCGTATGCCTTGGGCGGGAATTATTTAAATTAGGAAAATTGTCAAGTGTACATTCTAGGAAGAAAAAACTCCCTTTGAAGTGGACTTTGTGCTTTGCAGTTTTGCAGACATTTATAAATACTTACATTTATCAACAACATTTATGTAATAAGTAGGATAATGTACAGTTAGCTGGTCATTATAGTAAAATGACTGTTATCCATCACATATCAGTTTGAAAAACAGAGAAACTGTTGAAAAACTGAGTATTTGAATATTTTTATGAGATAACTGTACTTACAACTGTGTTCGCAAGTTCACTCTGTAAAAGAGAAAAGAGAGCATTGTAGACTGATGTTCTGGGTACATGTCCTGTTAGCTTGGAGGAAATGCATCCTAACCATCTCTTATGCCTTCGAGGTCCTACTCCAAACATGTCCTACTCCAAACACTCACCAGTTCCCTGAAGAGCTTTTCATCTAGCTGTGGGTCAGTGAGGCTGAACAGGTGCTGCTGAGGCGGTGCGCTGGCGATGGACCTCAGTCTACCGTTGTCTTGCTCGTCTCGTGTGGATCCCGACAGCCCAATGACAAACATACGGATGTTGTTGATCTTTGCATCTGCAGCTGCAGTCCCAGCACTGGGGCTGCGCGGGTGGTCAATCCCATCCGTCAACAGAAGCACTGCTCTTAAGCTGCTGGCCGCTGTCTCTCGGACGAAGAGCTGAGTGGCGTTTGAGATGGCATAAGCTGAGAAGGTGCCTTGGCCGATGTAGGTCATAGCATCCACTCGGCTTTGGAACACATCTATGTCCTGCCAGTCCCGGAAGTTGTGCTCCACTAAGACGTTGCTGCTGTACTGCAGGACGGCGATTCTCACCCGCATACGCCAGCCGGGCACCTGCATCTGCATCAGCCTGGTGCTGAAGCGCAACACGAAATCCCTCTGCCTCTCAAACAGAAGTATTGTAGCTTTCTCTGAACTGTCCACCAAAAAGGCCAACTCCACTGGACAGAACAGAGCTGCAGAAAAATAAAACAACAGCTTTTTTAAATTTTATTTTTTACAATTTCTAGGACACATTTCTCAATATTTTGGTCTTTCTCAAAATTACACTTTTTCTAGTTCTCCTAATTAACTTTTAGTTTTGTACAGAAGTTTATTTGATGTCCAAAATGCACCAAAACTTTCAAAACACTTCATGCATGTCTTAAATCAACTCATACTAACAAGTAGTTTTCACCCAACAAACACACTAAAAAAAAAACAATGACCTTAAAAACACTACAGTTTTTTCTGAGATGCTTTGGTGCATTTCTCAGATCACAACTAATTCTCAAAACTACCTGTTCAACTTCCACATCATCTAGTCACTTGTGCAAATCATAAAAGCAATTTTTCATTATTTTGATCAAATTGTCAATGCTTTACTACATTCATGCAATTGATTATGTACAATTATCTGCTGTTTCCTACATTATCAATTGCTCATGTTGATCAGAATATACTATTCTGGCTCTTTGTTGCATAGTCTTACCCCCAAAACCTCTAGGAATTAGTTCACTGCATAAATTATTAAAAGCAAAATGGTTGAACTTGTCATAATCTGTCAAGCATTATTTTCTATACATTTCTATTAAACTCTTCTGTAAATGTGTCCTGTATTGATAAATTGCACAGGTAAATCTTAAATCTCACTATAAATTGGGAATGTAAAGCATTAAATCAACCAATGATCAACAGCTCAGGGGTGCATCTCATGAACCTTCGATTGGCAAGAATATATAAAGCACAACACAGTGTTACAATTTCTGACAATGGAAAAAGAAACCAACAACAACAAGGAAACAAACAGGGTCAACAGCCAGGAAGAACATGAGTAAGGACGCATGGTGAAAGGGTTTGGAGACTATAATTTATTGTCAGATCAACAGAAAATAGTAACTGTGAATCCTGTTACAGTACCACATACAGCAATGCATTTGTACTGTTGAAAGTATTATTTGCCATACAAAAAAAGTGCAGCCTTCTGTCACAGTTGGTTGCAGAAAGGAAGAGAAGTTGAGGCAGGATCTATGTGCAGCAGTCATGAGCCCAAATGACTGAGGTGAAGCCGGGAGAGGTGTAGACCCATGTGGAGTCTGGTGTACGGAGGGACTGGGCGACACTGGAACGACCAGGAGGCCAAGGTGGAGCAGCGGTGACGAGCAGCCGAGGTGAAGCCAGGGTGTCGACTGAGCCAGTGGGAGAGAGGATTGAGGAGGAGCCAGAGGAAAGAAGGAATCCAACGGAGCCGAAGCAAAGATGAGGCAGGATGAGGCGCAGTCGTTGGCCCTGAAGTCTGTGGTGGAGGCAGAGCGATGACTGACCAAGGTGGAGTCGGAGTGGCAAGGGAGCTGGTGTAGCCAAGGGAGCAAGAAACCTAGGTGGAGCTGACTTGTCGATGGGCCGAGGTGGAGTAACTGGCTCGGAGGCCCGAGGTGGAGCCAGAGGAACAACACACCAAGGCTGTGGACCAGGAAGCCCAAGGCGGATCCAAGCAGCTTGGCAGAGCCACTGAAGAAGGGTCTGAAGGGAGCCAGCTGAGGCAGGGCTGAGGAATTTAATGGAGTAGTCAGAGGAGGAGGGAGTGGGAGGCTGGGCGGGACCAGTGGCGACGAAGGAGACTTGGAGCTGGGTCTAATTAGCTGCAACGAAGGAGATTTGGAGCTGGGCGGAACCAGTGGTGACAAAAAAGACTTGGAGCTGGGCAGGTCCAGCAGTGACAAAGAAGACTGGCAACTGGAAAGGATTAGGGGAGACCGTTATTTTGGACACCGATATAATTCAGATCATCATACCGTTTAGGAGGGTCTGGGCTCAGATCACCCTCAGTGGCAGAAGTATGGGCATGGCTCCACTCCATGCCCTCCACTCCATGCCCTCGAACTCCGCTAAAACACCTTCAGCTCACCCTCAGTGGCAGAAGTATGGGCAGGGCTCAAATCCATGCCCTCGAACTCCACTAAAACACCTTCTGGGATTGACATTGGTGCCTTCTCTCACCCCTGGTCAGACTTTGGGGAAGGCTCCAGCACCGGGATGGAAGTGGCACCAGGCTCTGGCTCCGTGCCTCAGGCTCAGGGTCAGTGTTAGGCTTGACAAGGGGCTGAATGGGATCTGGAGCTTTTACTTCTTCCTCCTCAACCACTGTCCAGGAGGAACCAGAGTGGAATAACACTCACTCAATGTATTCACAAAAAATCCCCCGAGGACCATCTCCAGGCAAGCATGCTTTAGTTTGACTGTTTAGACCAGCTCTAAGAAACACACACAGGGGAGGAATCAGGATGATGCACCAAGGGCACCAGTTATGAAAAAAAAGTTTCTTGTGTGGTCCTCAAGGGTGCTGTCCTCCTGGCTTAGGAGGAGAATCTGAACTGCTGGTAGATCCATATGTAGGACTGTTCTTCTGTCACAGTTAGTTGCAGGAAGGAAAAGAAGTTGAGACAGGATCTATACACAGCAGTCATTTTATTAAACAATAAAACAAAACAAAAAACATGCAGGAGCACAGGAGAAATCTGGAACACAGGAGAATAACATCCAACTAAAAATAAATGAGTATTTAAGTAATTAAAGGGCTGAACAAGGAACAGTTGAATCAAATCAGTCAAACAATGAGTGATTGTGACAACAAAAGAGAACATTCTAGAAACATTGGAAAAAGAAAGGAAACACAGAAAACACAGAAAAGTTACAAGCCAGGAAAACCGAAGTGAGAAAATAATGTAATTTGAAAGATGTAGTCATTGAATGCATTTTGTGCCAAAGCAATGTAAAATTATCCACAGTTTAGCACACATAGACTGCTGTTGTGCTCACTGTGTGAAGAGTTTTGAAAAAGTAACCAAAGTATTGAGAAATTGGTTCAAGCAATTGTAAAAAAAAAAAAAAAAAAAAAATTCTCTGAAAAACATTAGAGAGGTTTGGGTAGACAGACAGACAGACAGGCAGACAGACAGATTACTTACTTTTGACTTCATTTTGGTTGACAGTGTTGTCAGGCTTCTGTCTGTTCTTTCTTCTGTTCTTGCTACTAGCACTACAGGACAGTATCAGCAGCAGGAGACACAACATCACAACACACTGCATCCTTCCTGCTTTTCACACCGTCACACTACAAATGAATCGTATTATACATTTCATATTTAGTTTTGAAAACATGTCTCTAAAATAATGCATTAATTTTTGACATCCTAAGTACATCCTGACAGATCCTTAATAACAGCATTGCAGAAACATAAAAAACATTATACATGTTAATACAATTGTGTTTGGCAACCAACTGTGGGCAGTATATCCATTAATAAATGCAAAATAAAACGTTCATAAAAACAGTTACCCGGTACTGCGTTACAGTATTTTTTACCACAGTAAAAAAAAATTAGGCAATAAGCAATCCTTATCTGTGGTAAAAAAAATCCCTGTAATTAATTGCCCTAATTAGATTTTTTCTTTAATAATCAATGTTTCTTTATTCCTGGGAAACATGTTTTCAAGCCATCTCCACTCCAATTTGTATGCAGTTTACTGCAATGATTAATAGTGTAATTAGATTTTAAGTCAAACAATTAAACTGATCATTACACTTGTACACCTGGCCCAAAGTTCCGCATCTGAAAATCGGAATCTTGACAATAGAAATTATGAGGGTCAGGAAGAGCAATATACTATGAACTACCCTGAGGCAGTCATGCACGTGGCCTGTCAATTTTAGCCCTCAAGGTGCTACAAAATCACTTCACTGCGGTACAGTGTGACACAAGCATGCTGCTACTATTCCAGTGAATTTTACTGAGGAAACTTTACATTTTTATGATGGTGATGTTCTTTTTTCCACAAGTAAATGCACATTGTATCCCTTTTTTAGGTGAAAGTTTTTTAAACCCCTTCTGTGCTGCTACAAATAAAACATATAATATAATATAATATAATATAATATAATATTACAAATAATATCATATTTAACACATCAATTATTTTACTCTCTGTATCATGAAGATCTGGACTTATTCATATCAATAGCCGTAACACAAAGGAAATCTTTTCAATTTGTAGACTCTCTACTTTCTTGTGTCCAACAAAATAAGAAAAATAGTATGGAAATTAACAGTAGGAATCAATTATGGTGGTTCCTTACCTAAATATTTACTGCTGTACTGTCTGTCTCCTTTATAATCCAGTCATCCAGTTAATCATTCATGTCCAGTTACATCCTCATCGTGTGTGATATCTCCGTATGAAAGAGCTAGAGGCAGAATAGGCAAAGTTTCATTGAGGCCAGGCATATATTCTGTGAATAATGCAGTAATACCCTCTCTGTACACTCACTCTGTGCTCAGTGTGCCAGTATCCTGACAGTAACCGGCTCACTGCTCTGGGACTCATAGAGTTAAACCCCCTTTTGCCAGTGGATTGGGAGGGCGATTATTCTGACAGGCTTGATTCCTGTATTCCTGTCAAACATTTTATGGGTGTCTTTATCAGCCATTAGCTCACAGATGTAGTGTAAAAAGTCACTGGAAAAATAAACAAGACTGCCTTCAGTTAAATTCTACTAATATAACAATTGCTTGCGCTCTAACTTTAATACAACTATCATGGGCAGATGGCAGAAGAAAATCCTTTGAGAAATATGCAGGTCTAAACTGGATTTCTATCAGTATCCTCAAGCTAAAAAATCATCTCGGTTACGTATGTAACCCTAGTTCCATTATAGGGACGAGACGCTGCGCCAAACACTGTGGGAACGCCCCTGCGTTGTGCGTCATGAAGCACGTATGGAATCAGCCCAATGGAGAGATGAAACGTCATAGGCGGGTGACGTCATCGACCAGGAAACTATAAAGCACCCCAAAAACACAAGCGCAGTAGCTTCTGATAGGCCTGAAGGAAGCGCTAACGGGAGTGCCGGGAGTATGGCGGAACGACGCAGCGTCTCGTTCCCTATCAGGGAACTAGGGTTACATACGTAACCGAGACGTTCCCTTTCAAGGGAACTTCGAGCTGCGTCAAACGCTGTGGGAACGCGAATACCCACGTCGCCATAGGACCAAATGACCGCCATGTGAGAACTAGCGCACAGAGGACGAGAGCACCTGTGCCCCAGGGGTAGAGCTTAAGTCTAGGTCATAGAAACTTAATAAAAGTATGCGGTGAAGACCATCCAGCCGCATCACAAACATCACTCAGGGAAACTCCCGACAATAGAGCTTTGGAAGCAGCCATATTCCTGGTAGAGTGGGCTCGAACAGCCAAAGGTGAAGGCTGGCCAGCCGACTCATGAGCAAGTGAGATAGCCTTGACCACCCACTTGCTCATTCTCTGTTTAGACGCAGGACACCCTTTCCTGGGTGGCCCGAAACATACAAATAGTTGTTCTGATTTCCTCCACAGGGCAGCTCTGTGGACATAAGCGTCTAATGCCCTAACAGGGCAGAGTAAATTAAGTTTCTCCTGGTCCGATGACATAAATGGAGGACAGAAAGCCTGCAGAACCGTAGGTCTAACAACATTAGTAGGGACCTTGGGAACGTACCCTGGTCTAGGATGCAGAAAAGCCTTAACCATGCCAGGCGAAAATTCCAGGCACGAGGGTGAAACCGACAGAGCCTGCGACTCTCCGATTCTTTTTAGTGAGGAGATAGCAAGTAGAAAGATAGTTTTAAAAGTGAGAAACTTCTCAGGAACTTCTTCGATAGGTTCAAAAGGAGCTAGTGAAAGACCTTCTAATACAATGGCCAGATCCCAGGTCGGCACCCTCGTACGAACTGTTGGCCTCAGCCTCAAAGTGCCACGAAGGAAACGAGTTATAAGCGGGTGTCTTCCGAGAGAAACTCCACTGAAAGGGACATGGTAAGCAGCTAGTGCCGCCACATACACCTTTAGTGTGGAGGGGGATAACCCTGTGGAGAAGCGCTCCTGGAGGAATTCCAGCACTGCACCCACTGGGCAGTTAACTGGGTCCTGCAGGTGTTCTCCACACCAAGAAGTGAAAAGTTTCCACTTCAAGGCATAAAGCTTCCTCGTGGATGGAGCTCTGGAGTGAAGAATGGTCTCAACAACCTCGATTCAGAGACCAGAATCTATGAGCTGGGCCCCCTCAGAGGCCAAGCCCACAATTTCCACAATTCTGGGCGAGGGTGAAATATCGTGCCGCCCGCCTGAGAGAGAAGATCCCTCCTGACCGGGAGCTCCAAAGGAGAGCCGTCCAGGAAAGAAATCAGGTCCGTGAACCATACTCGGGCCTGCCAGAACGGGGCTACTAATAGTAAGCTGACCCCATCCCGGCGAACCCTTTCCAGAACTCCTGGTAGCAGAGCAATCGGGGGAAAGGCGTACAGGCGTGACCTTGGCCACGGCTGCACCATAGCGTCCAACCCCAGAGGGGCTGGAAGACTGATGGAGAACCACAGATGACAATGTGTGGTCTCCTTGGAAGCAAATAGGTCCACCTCGGCGCGACCGAAACTCAACCAAAGGAGCTCCACCACCTCGGGTGGAGCTCCTATTGTAAATGAAATGGTCACAGATAATAGCTTCGATGTACTTTGCCTTACTGAAACCTGGCTTAAACCAAACGAGTATTTCGGTCTAAATGAGTCTACTCCGCCAGGATACTGTTATAAACATGAGCCCCGTCTGATCGGTCGTGGCGGCGTTGTTGCAACAATCTATAGAGATATTATTAATGTAACTCAGAAAACAGGTCACAGGTTTAATTCATTTGAAGTACTGGTGCTAAACGTTGCGCTCTTAGATGTAAGAAATAAATCCCTATTATCTCTAGCCTTGGCTACTGTATATAGACCTCCAGGACCATATGCTGATTTCCTAAAAGAGTTTGCAGACTTTCTCTCAGATCTATTGGTCAATGCCGATAAAGCAATAATTGTTGGAGATTTTAACATACACGTAGATAACACAAACGATGCGTTAGGGACTGCGTTTACAGATTTATTAAACTCCTTTGGGGTCAAGCAGAATGTCAGTGGTCCCACTCATCGTCTAAATCATACACTAGATTTAATTATATCATAGGGAACCAATCTAACCGATATAGATATTATACCGCAAAGTGACGATCTCACCGATCATCACATGGTAACTTGTATAATACGCACTGCTGAAATTTGTCATGTTGCGCCACGTTATAGACCAGGCAGAACAATCCTTCCGACCACTATAGATAGATTCTCAAATAGCTTACCTGATCTATCTCAGCTGCTCAGAGAACCCAAACAAACAGATGAACTAGAGGAAATGACTAGCAGTTTGAGCACCATTTTCTCTAGTACATTAGATATTGTTGCACCAATTAGATCAAAAAAGGTTAGAGAGAAAACTAAAGCACCATGGTACAACAGTGCTACGCATGCTATCAAGAGAGAAACTCGTAACCTAGAGCGTAAATGGAAACAAACTAATTTAGAGGTCTTTAGAATCGCGTGGAAAGACAGTATGTCACGTTATAAAAAACCTCTAAAAGCAGCCAGGGCTGAGCATCTCCGCAAACTAATAGAAAATAACCAAAATAATCCAAGGTTTTTATTTAACACCGTGGCTAGACTAACAAATAAACAGACATCACCCGAGCAAATTATTCCGTTACAGTATAGCTGTAATGATTTTATGAACTACTTCAATGAGAAAATAGAAAGCATCCGAAACACAATTGTAAATGTACAATCCTCTATGGTGTCTTATGATTCAGCCTCAATTATCGCCCCTCAAGAACAACTACACCGCTTTACAACTGTAGGACAGGAAGAGCTAAATAAACTTATCATTGCATCTAAACCAACAACATGTTTATTAGATCCAATACCAACTAAATTTCTGAAAGAAGTGTTACCTGTAGTGGAAGAGCCTCTTCTTAATATTATTAACTCGTCTTTATCTTTAGGTCATGTTCCAAAAATATTCAAGCTGGCAGTAATAAAACCTCTCATTAAGAAACCGCAATTAGATCCAAATAACTTAGCAAATTACAGACCGATTTCAAATCTTCCATTTATGTCTAAAATACTAGAAAAGACTGTGTCCGCTCAATTGTGCTCTTTCATGCAAGAAAATGAGATATATGAAAAATTTCAGTCAGGATTCAGACCGCATCATAGCACAGAAACTGCACTAGTTAAAATTACAAATGATTTACTTTTAGCTTCTGACCAAGGCTGTATCTCAATACTAGTTCTACTCGATCTTAGTGCTGCGTTTGACACTATCGATCATAAAATACTCTTGGATCGACTACAAATCTACACTGGTGTTCAGGGACAGGCATTAAGCTGGTTCAGATCGTATTTATCAGACCGTTACCATTTTGTTTGTTTAAATGGGGAAAAATCGAAGATAACGTCAGTAGACTATGGAGTGCCGCAAGGATCGGTGTTAGGCCCTCTGCTATTCTCAATATATATGCTGCCACTTGGTAATATCATAAGAAAACATGGAATTAATTTCCACTGTTATGCTGATGACACTCAATTATATATTTCATCACGGCCAGATGAAAACACTAACTCATCAAAATTGACAGAGTGTCTTAAAGATATAAAATGCTGGATGACGCATAATTTCCTGCTACTAAATCCAGATAAAACGGAGGTATTACTTGTTGGTCCAAAAAACTATCCACAAAACCACTAACAATACAACTTTAATATAGAAGGATGTCCTGTTACTTTATCCTCTACGGTAAAAGACCTGGGAGTTATACTAGACCACAACTTGTCTTTCGAAAATCATATTTCATATGTTACAAGAACAGCCTTTTTCCATCTTAGAAACATTGCTAAATTACGTAACATGCTATCTGTTTCCGATGCAGAAAAGTTAGTCCATGCATTCATGACCTCGAGACTAGATTATTGTAATGCTTTATTAGCCGGTTGTCCTGCATCCTCAATAAACAAGCTACAGTTAGTGCAAAATGCAGCCGCTAGAGTTCTTACTAGGTCAAGAAAATATGATCATATAACACCAATTTTATCATCTCTACACTGGTTACCTATCAAGTTCCGTATCAATTACAAAGTACTATTACTGACCTATAAAGCCCTAAATGGTTTAGCTCCTGTGTATTTAATGGACCTTCTATCGCCCTACAATCCATCGCGTTCTTTAAGATCACTAAATTCGAGGCTTCTAGTCATTCCTAGGATATCTAAGTCCACTAAAGGAGGGAGGGCGTTCTCACATTTAGCTCCTAAACTCTGGAATAGCCTTCCTGATATTGTTCGAGGCTCTGACTCGCTGTCCCAGTTTAAAACTAGATTAAAGACGCATCTTTTT